GCCGGGTGGCAGGACAGACGTATTTTCCAGAAAGGGGAAAGGTGCCCATGAGTCGGGGAGTCTCAGGGTCCTGCCGCACTGACCACACGGGACAGGACAGGGGCAGCTACACCCTTCGAGAATGGAAGACAGGACCGGCCTGAAGAAGAGCAGCAGCTTCTATTTGCGCCAAAGACAAGCAACAAAGGTAGAGGAGCCTGAAGTCCCTTGGAGGGTGCAGGGCTGGAGCAAAGCGGAGGACAGAGGGAGGCAGGCGGGAGGGAGGGAGGTGGCCGGTAGGGCTGCAGAGGTCTGACCTCCAAGGGCGGGGGGAGGGCCCTGCTACAGAGGAAAACGCCGGCTCCCTGGGAGAAGACGGGACCCCTAAGCGCACAGGGCCCGGGGAGGGGCTAGCAGTCAGCCGTGAACCGGGCACAGTCTTCTGCAGATAGTTCAACAACTTCCCAAGGTTGCTCTTCCCTTCGGGTTTTCCTCATTCATTTCCTTGTTTTAGAGTAGAAACCATTAACAGAGTCAAGTGGCTGTTGGCTGTCTTGGACCTGGGTCCCAGTGGCAGAGAAAGGCCGGGGTTCCTGCGGCAGCAAGGCTGGGACAAGGACCCAGGAGCTCAGAGTGGCTGAGGGTGGTCCGGGCAGACTGCCATGTCCCTGAGCAAGCCACCAGGCCAGGGCAATGCGCCAGCAGGGATGCTCTCTTCCAAAGCTGGCAGGAGCTCCAGAATGGCCATCCTTGTCCAGATGAGGCTTCTCAGCAGCTCCAGCCCAAAGCCAGGCCCCAAGGTCACGCGAACCCTCACTCTTCTTCATTGGGAATGGTAAGGTCATCAAACGCACGCCTGGACGTGCTACCAGGCAGGGCCCCTCCTCCTCCCCAATGCCAAGGGCACCACCCTGGCACCCCCGGCACAACCCAGCTGAGTGCCCCTCTCTCTGGATGTACTGTGTGGGCAAGGTGGAGAAAAGAACAGGTACTGAGGCCAGGGCCAGCAGAGGAAAGGAAAACGCAAACCGTCTGGGCAAAGAAGAGAAGCAGCATCTTCTAGAGAGGAGTCCTCTGGAGCGGGGGTCCCCAGCTATCCAGCTTTGGGGACCCTGGTTCCCACTCCCTCCTCCTTCAACAGGAGCAGAGGAGGAGGCATCAAGGGGACAGATGTGTGGAGGTGAGTGAAGCTGTCACCTTGGCCAACCAGCAGTTCCTAACCTGGGTCACCCTAAGGCTTCCCAGTCTGCAAAAAGTCCCCCTCCCCCACGCCGGCCCCCCCCCCCAAAGCCAGTCTTTACCAAGGAAGGGAGCCTACTCATCAAGCATCCCACTTCTGGCACACAGCCCTGCCCCACCAGTGGGGCCTGCCATGTCCTTCTGTCCGTCCACAGGCACCCTGCAACAGCTGTGTTTACTATCCGTGAGCCCATCGCTCGGTGGGACACGGTCGTGGGTGTCACGTTTGCACGGGACCCAGCCCTCGGCACACAGTGGCTGTTTGGTAGCTCCCGTGGAGAGCGGCCTAAGTGACGGGTCTTGTCCGGCCGACGCTATGACAAGCAGCACTATGGGTACCCCCACCTTACACAGAGGTTGGGGACCTTGCCCAGGCCACGGGGATGCAGGCAAAGCCCTGGGAGAGGCCACACGGCTCTCTGCTGCCTTGGAGGGGACCCCGGGGGGCGCGGGCTCGGAGGATTACCGCTGCCCTCCAAGCGCCCCCTGCACAGGGCTGAAGGAAAGCCGGCAGATGGGACATCGATCCCCTCACGGCGGCCCGAGGATCCCCCAAAGTCCCCCTGCTGGCCTCGCACTGTGTCACCGGGGGCTGGTTGGAGAGCTCTGGGTCTGGAGGCTTCTTCATGTCAGAGGCACTGAACTAGCTCTCCGGGAGCTGCAGTGGTTTCTTCAAGCACCTGAGACACCTCCAGTGTCACCACCCCAAGTACGTCCTGAGACAGGGCGGGCGGCCTCCCTTCCGGTGACCTGGGACAGTTCCCCCGAAGCTTGGCTGGAGCAGATTACACCTGCAGGAGTCACTGCTGTGAACGCTCTGCCCCTATATTGCTGCTCTCTCTGGGGGGGGGCGTGGGGTGCCCAAGAGAGGGTCACTGGAGGGGCAGAGGGCGGGGAAGACAAAGCAGTGCCTTAGCCCTTCCCCCACCCCCAGCGCACCTGCCCCTCGGAAGCAACGGGGGTCTGTGTCCATGACCTTCCTGGGAGAAGCTCTGGGAAGGATAAAAGGGAGACAGAGCAGGGCTGAATCCAGTGCCTGGAGCCTTAAGGACAGAAAGTGCGACCACAGAAAGCACTGCTGGAAATGCTCTCCGCTGAGCCCCTTCCGGTCCCCGCCATGCTGCCGGGTGTGCGGGGAGAGCCCCGTTGTCCTTTTCCAGCACGTGCTCGGAAACCCCAGACGCTTCGGCTCTCAACCACGGCTACGAGTCCAGCTACGGGCCTCCACCGGACTCAACAGCGCAGGCAGAGGGCGCAGAGCCTCGTCAAGAACCGCTAAGAGGCGTTGTGGCCATGCGCGAGGTTTAGACCACGGCCTACTCGGGCTCCCCTCCCCGGTCTGGATCAGCGAAAGGCCACTGTGGACGGAGAGAGGGACCCACCCTGTTCCCGCAGTGCCCCATGCCCTCTGGTCGTACGGTCTTGTGTCCTCAGGACAGTCTATAAAGCAGAGACCGCCGTCCCACTCTACAGACGGGGAGGCCGGCTCAGAGCTGCCCGCGGACTTGCTCAAGACCACAGAAAGTAGGGGAGCCAGCTCAGCAGCAGATGTGGCCCCTCCCGAGGCCACGGCCTCTCTCCTAAATGCAGGCGTGCCTCCAGGGCTGTTTTTCCGGAGGTCACCCCAACCTCAGGTGTGTCACCGTCTAAAGACCAGCCTGCCTGCCCCACGGGCAGAGCTTGCCAGACTCGGCTCTCACCTCCCACCCTCTGGTGCCTCTCTGCCACTTCTTATCCACTTCTAATACCGCGTCTCAGGGAGACCTTTGGGAAGTTCTTGGGAGGAAGCTGTCACTTCTGACCTGGTCGGGGGCATCTCATCTCATCTCTTTCAAAAAGATGAAAAAAGGCCAATCTTTGAGAATTCTCATCTGTTGGGGTAGGAGTGCGTGGCTTGTGCATATGTGTGCACGTTTGCTTGTTCGCACGTGTGTGTGTGTGTTAGCACGCGGGGTTGTTCTTGGGAACGTGTGTGCTTGTGCATAGGTGTGCACGTTTGCTTGTTCGCACGTGTGTGTGTTAGCACGCGGGGTTGTTCTTGGGAACGTGTGTGCTTGTGCATAGGTGTGCACGTTTGTTTGCACGCGTGTGTGTTTGCACACGTGTGTGTTAGCACGCAGGGTTGTTCTTGGGAACGTGTGTGGCTTGTCTGTGTATGTATGTGTGCAACATGGTTTCATGTGCATGTTGTGCGTGAACACGTATGTGCACACATGTGGGCACGGTTGTGCATGCGTGTGTATGCAGCACAGGGAGGTATTCAGCTGAGGGTCATTTCTACCTTTGAGGGGGCTGTTAAGTCCCTGCTCAGTCACAGGTGCCGAGTCCTGGAAGTCAGGAGACTGGAGCCCAGTCCTCCGTCTGCTGCTAACCAACTGCCCGGCCCTGATGAAGCAAGAGGCTCGACCACCTGGCCTTGCAGACTCTTCCTGTTCTCTGCTCTCCGATTCTATTAAAGCGGGCGCTGGTGGGGGAGGGGCAGTTCCCACTTCCTGGGATGGAGACGGGGATGGGGAGAGTGAGGGTGGCTTCTGGCAAGTCTATCAGCTGGCAGCGGCAGTCCAGAGATCTCTGGAGACTCGCCCCACCTCCCCCCGCCTCTGCCTCCTCCGTCACTGGCTGGGGCATCCCTCCCTGGCTTCCCGGCAGGGGGTGGGGGTGGGGGTCCTTGAGAAGAGCAAGGGGAGAGATGGCAGCTTCCCTGAAATGTGCCCCTGAAGTTTGGGAGTGATTCCTCACTTATGGCTTTTCCCGGTGTGGGGGGGGGGGTTCTGGAGGAGCTAAAAATCCCCCCTCCAAGCCAGCTTTCTTATTGTGCCTCTCTGCCAATCAGAAGCATGGGCCCGGGACGCTCTGGACTCAGGCCAGGGCCTTAGCAAGGGAGGGGCCAGGAACAAAGGGGGTCTGCTGGGAAGCCTCTCCTATGAGAGTCAAGTTGGTTAGGGACCCTGGACATCTGGAGGGCTTCATGCCTCCAGAGAAGGGCAGAGAGACCACAGGGCTGGTCTGGCCTGTCCCTCAGTGTCTCTGTGGGCCCAGGAGGTAGAGCAGCCTCAAGGACCCCCCCCCTGCTGTCAGAGCTGACCATCTGTCCAGTGGGGTACACGGAGGGGCGGGGTGGGGGGCTGCCGGGCGCAGCCCCTGCTGGCCAAGCCCCACCCCCCCACCTGCTCCCCCCTGGCCAGGAAGCACCACCACTGGGGGCGGGGGCGGCGTACTCGGTCACCCTCCGTGTCTCAGTCACCATCCCTGTCTGGGGACCACGTCCCGCAGGGCAGCCCAGGGGCTCCGCGGGGCGTCTGCTCTGGGGTCGTTACGAGGGAAACGAAAGGCTTCAGGCACCAGCCCCTGAACATACAAACTCAGCCTGATGAGATCTGTTACAAAGAAAGCTCTGCCCATGAAGTGGAAAAAAATACCCCCTTGTGGGTCGCCCCTTTCCATGGCGGGGGAGGGGGGAGGCGGCGCGTGGGGACAGCAGCTCCGCAGAGCCCTGTTGCCCCCAGCCCAAGTTGTCGGAGGCTGCAGCCGGGACCCAGGACGCGCGGACGCACAGACGATAGCCCCCCACCCAGGCCGCCCTCCGCCGCTGCGCCAGGTTCCCCCCCCCACCGCTACGACCCCCCCCCACCGCTACGACCCCCCCCCCCCCCCCGCCCCCACCCGGGGGGGGGCCACTGCGCGGGATCGCCCGGTGGGGGCCAAGCACAGCGCTGCGGCGGAGGGCGTGAGCACCGGGGGGCACCGGCGGCCGCGGGTGCGGAGGGTGGGGAGGAGGTTACCTTCTGAATGCGCCCATCGATGTCCAAGTAGATGGCCTTGGGCCGGTAGCTGGAGGAGCCGGATCCCATCTTGCGCCGAGCGGCTGCACTTGGACTTTTTACTGTACTTTCTCTACGCCAGCCGCGGGGAGGGCGGGGAGTGGGAGGGAGGAGGGGGCGGCGGCGGGAGGATGGAGGAGACCAGCCAACCAGAGCGCCGCCGCCGCACCGGTGCGGGGTCGGGCCGCCGCCTCTGGCGCGCGCGTCTAGGCTGGTGCTCCGCCTCCGGCCTCGGCCTTCCTCCGCCTCCCTCTTCCTCCTCCCTCCGCCCTCTCCCCCTCCCCCTCCTCCTTCCCCCCCTTCCCCTCCCCCTCCTCCTTCCCCCCTTTCCCTCCCACCCCCTCTTTCCCTCCTCCGCCTCCCTCTTCCTCCCTATCCCTCCTCTTCCCTTCCCTCCTCCCCCTTCCTCCCTTCCCACATTAAGGCACACCCCCTCTTCTTCCGTTGGACTCCAGCCGCCTTGGGGATAGGGCCAAGTGAAAAGCCTCTCTCCAAGTGACCCCTGGACAGGTGCCCATAGCAAGTGACCCCTCTGGCTACGGAGTTGGTCACCTTCCCAAGTGCCAGAAATTCCCAGAGCGACCCCCTCTGGCTGCAGGCAGGTCACCTTCCCAAGTGCCAGAAATTCCCAGAGCGACCCCCTCTGGCTGCAGGCTGGTCACCTTCCCAAATGGACAGTTGCCCAGAGCGACTCCTTTGCCCCAGGTGGCTAAATCCAGAACCGCTTAGCATTAGGCAGCTCCCCGAGGCTCAGCCTCTCCCGGCCATGATCGCCATCCTCATGCAATTTGACTAGGAAATGGGAAAAGTTGCTTCTCATTCATGCGCATCCTTCTAAGTTTTCTGTACATTCTCGGGAGTGACAGCCTCTTTCCAGCTGCACCCAGAGCTGAAATGGCAATTTTATTTCTGTTCTTAATGGAGCTGGAGAGAGGATTACCCAGCCAGCAGCTCTCGCTCTGCCCACCCTCCCCCCACCTCGTTAATGGCTGCAGGGAGTATGGGAAAAGCAGGAGGGAAAAAGAAGGGATTTTCAGGCAGTTAGTGACCTGTAGACCACAGTGGGGGCTGCTTTGTGGCTCCCGATTCTCTGGGATCTCCCAGTGGGACCCAGATGGGGGGAGGCTGGTAAGTGCTGAGCGGCTCCAAGTGCCTGTCGCTCTTGGAAGCGAGTGTCAACCCAGCCAGAGAATGCCCTGATTGTTCCATTCTATGTGGATTCCAAGCCACTGCCTTGCATCTGTTGAATGTCTGGGTTTTGCATATTGAGAGAGTGCCTGGTGCACACAGGCTCCTCCCTCCCTCCAGGCCTGCCCCAGCCAGGCTAACCACTGCCAACGGGTCAGTGCCTTTCCCTTCCCTGGCCATGCAGCCTCCCCCTGGTGCACAGGCTTTCCAGAGTCTTCCGGGCCCCCTGGAGCACTGGCCAGGCTGGAGCGCTGGGGAAGGCGGGGCTCGTCGTCTTTACGGGAAGCGTTCTTCCTCAGCCTTTGGACAGTCTAGCGTGTGTCATTTCATGCCCCCTGCCTGCTCTGGGAGTAGGACTCATCATTCTTTGAGAATGATGATGGCTTTGCCCTTGACTCCAGCCCAGTGAAGGGACCACATCAGAGCCCGGGCACCCTAAGACTTGCTTTAGAAGTGACTAGGGGGAGAGTGAGGGGCAGCAGGAGACCTTCGAGGTGGGGGTAGCTGAAGCTGGGGGGTTATACTTGGCCACCTGACTCACAATCGTCATAACGTGTCCCCAGAAAATTGGAAAAAGCACAGTTATTGTAGTTCAATTTTGTTGTCGAATGTTCTGATGTTTGGGCTAATCCAGTGATGGACCTGTGGGACTGGTGTGCTGCCCGGTGTGGAAATCTCACCACGCAGCAGATGGCTCATTAGCCCAGTACTTATTTATTCCCCGTGTCTATAGCCACCTGACCTGACCCTCTCCAGTCATCTCCTTCTGGCGCCCTGGAACGACGGGTGTCCAGATGCTGCGTGCAGCTCTGCAGAACTGTATACCCCAGCGGGGAGCGTGCAGTGCCGGGACTGTGTCCGGCATCACGTGGGGTGCCCCTCCTTGCGGGCTGGCTGGTTCTGTATTCAGAATAATACTCTCGTAAGCGGGGGACCGACAAGGACTGCTGCAGATACAGTGAGGCTTTGGCGGTCGCCCCTAAGAGGGGTCCTTCCTGTTGCCTCATTCCGGCGCAGGGCAGTGGTTCCAGCACTCGTTAGCACTGTCCTTACTGTGTGTCCGAGCCTCGGGAGAGAATACACAAAAATCTCAGCCTGGGGCCACTGGCTTTTCACTGGGAAGCAGACAAGATGGGACAAAGAAAGGTAGCGTGTAGCGTGTTGGATCATAATGGGTGCCAAGGAGAAAAGTCCCTCGGGGAAGGAGATCCCAAACACGGCATATGGGGAGCTGATGTATTCAAGAGCGCACCAGGCACAGCACACAGGAGTCGGGGAGCAAGGAGCCCAGAAGGAAAGAACCTTCTAGCAAAGGGTGAAGAACCTTCAGGCCAAGGCTCCTCGCACAGGGGGCCAGTGCAATGGGCGGGAGAAAGAGGAGGGGAGAGGGGAGCCTGCAGTGGGGAGTGAGGTCAGAGAGAGGGGACGGCAGGCCCCCGTGTGGGCCATGCAAATCACCCGATGCCCCTGCTCCGGGTGCCAGCCCCGCGGGCGGCGGAGCGGAGGAGGGACGTGGCCTACCCGCATGTTGGTGCTTTGACAGCATCATCCGCTGCTGGCTGGCAGGGCTGGAGGAGGGAGAGCCGCGGAGACGCTGCTGCAGTAGCGTTTGCAAAGAGCGCAGGTTACTGGGCCACAGCGGTGAAAAGTGGCTGGATTCTGCATCCAGTGTGGCGGATGCTCAGATCTTTCACTTCTGCTCGTTGCTTAGGTTGACGTTATTTCTACTTTTTGTTCTCCTTCCCTTCTGTGTCATGTGGTCCTGCCTGAACTCATGCTCCTTCATCCTGGACGGCCCCTGGGGTGCCATCCGAGGAGCCAGCTCTCCCTGCTGAGCACCGAATCGGCCCAGGTGTCTCTGTGGTGTCCTTGAGCTGTACTCCTGACCCTGGCTTGGTCACCAGGAATGCGGCCCATATAAGTTCCCAGAATCAGGACAAAAACTAAAGAAACCGCCTGCCTCTGCCGGGTGGGCTGGGGGCTGGGGGCAGGATGAGGAGCCAGGGTGGAGCAGGAGGCCCCAGAGTGTTATGGGAACTTGGAGTTCACACAGTCCCCGGGGGAGTCACAGGGAAGGAAGCTTCTGATTGTCTGGGACGTCTGAGTGCAAGATCCTGCCGAAATCTCACAGGGAAGGGGGAAGAGGTGAAGGAGCTCCTGAAGGTGCAAAGCCACCGGGGCTCCTAAGAGCCAGAGCCGGGTCCAGCCTCTGTCTCTGGCCCCCAGAGTGGACTGCACTTTCTTCTGTGCATACACACAAGCTCTTTGCTGTGTGCAGAACTTACTCGTGAATTGCCATAGAGACTGCGCCCAAGGAGAATTTCCAAGTAAGGCATCAGAGCCAAAATGAAGAGCAGAGGGACTGAGCTGAGACTGTGGTGGGAGGGGCTGGGTCCTGGTCCCCGGGCCCCACACCAGCTCTTCAGCTCCGGCTTGAAGAAGTGAAGCCACGTGAGGAGCAAGAAAGGGTCTTCTTCCCTGTCTCTGCAGGGTGGGCAGCCTTCAGCAAGGATGCAGAGATTGGGAAGGAAGCTTGGGGCACTTGGGAAAAGTCCAGAGGATGTATCCACAGCAGAAGGAGACGTGGGTCCGGAGTGGCTTGGCCAGGCAGAGCATCTTCCCTTGAGGCCAGCAGCACCGAGCACCTGCTCCCAGCACCTGCTGCCAATCTGCCTTGAGGGCATCCTTCTGCCTGTTCTTTCTTCAGCCTACCTGGTGTTTTTAATAACTGCTCTGAAGAGGATCCAGTTGCTTCCTATATGAATCCTTTTTCCAAACCAGGGGTGGGGTGGAGGGCACAAAGTGAATGTATCAAACAAGCAAAGTGTATTAGTGTCAACTGCATACAAGGCACTGAGCAGGCCTCACAAAGGGAGATTGGAGTACTCTGGACTCTGGGACCACCACAGGACGGGATTAAAATTAATAACCTAACTGGAGGAAAGACGTTTTACACTCTGACAGTTTTACCATCAGCCTCTTGGAGGGATCAGCCTGTTTCACACGTGTATAATAAGCTGAACACCCTCTAAGCTGCTCTAACACTCTGGGAAGCCATTTGACAGGTGCCCTAAGAGTTCGAGAAAAGGTCTGCCCTGAGCTTTGGTGTAGAGGGAGAAAAGCCGTGTGCACAAGAGCCATCGCAATGCTGGTGTTTGACTCACACCCACATCAACTGGTTTCTTTTTATGGCTTTGGTAATTGCAAAGTTATTACTAGTTGTAAATAATTCCAACAATGCAGTGGGAAAGGCAGAGCATCCAGATTAGAACATGGAGATGCACCCTCTTATTAATCCTCGTCGGTGGATCTCTTGCGTGCACGCTCTCCTCTCTCATTAGCCGGCTCCCTACACGGTGGGCATTGCGATCTTCCCAGCATTTTGTGGTTGTAAGTAGTGCGGAAAGAATCCTCATACACGGCCTTGGGTAGTTGTGTTGTTGTGTAGCACTGGTTCTTGGAAGTAAGATTTCCGGGCGGAAGTGTGTGCACACTTACATTTTTGATTTTGCTGAACTGCCTTCTGGATGGGTTATAGCAAGGTATGTGCCCCCCATCAGCAAGCAAACAAAATAAGATAGTTGTCATCCTGCTTATATTTTCCAATCTAAAAAGAGAAGAAACATCTTGTTTGTTTTTATTAAGATTATTGATTTATTGGGGCGTCTGGGTGGCTCAGATGGTTAAGCGTCTGCCTTCAGCTCAGGTCATGATCCCAGGGTCCTGGGATCGAGCCCCACATCGGGCTCCCTGCTCCGCGGGGAAGCCTGCTTCTCCCTCTCCCTCTGCCTCTCTCCCTGCTCATGCTTTCTCTTCTCTCTCTGTATCTCTGTGTCTCAAATGAATAAATAAAATCCTTAAAAAAATCTTAAAAAAAAG